TGTGAGGATCCACTTGGGTAGATTCCAATTCCGCACGAACAGTTTTGCCTAGAAACTCAGAATGTGATTTTGCAAACCAAGGCAAGTTCTAATGTCCAAAACTCACAGTTTTCAACCCAAAAAAAATTAAGAAGAATTAAGTAGGAGTAGAAAATGAATCTCAATAACCCGATACAGTAAACAAAACATCAAAAGAGATGCATACTACCTTACTACACGATACAAATCAAGCTCAAGACCCGAGACATCACAGTCTTACCTTTTTGTATGTCATTAAGCGTGCACCTTTTTTATTCTGACAAATTAGATACGATTTTGTAGTTTTTTCTATTGCTCAAATATTTGATGAACCAAACTCGAATTTGATTAATTCTTTGTAATTGAATTTAAGTATCTAAAAAGTTGACTCTATTCGTTTGTGACCATAAGTAATAGGGACTTAAATTTTGAAGATCATAATCCCCAAATCTTAATGGCATGGACCTTTATTGGTGCATTAAGTGTTGCCTATCATGTGTTGCCTATCATGTGCTTTTGTGGATTACAAGCGCCTTTAGAGAGATTTTCTAGATCTGTCAAGCCTTGAAAGTCCACATGTGCAAGCACTAATAATATTACTTTAGTGTTGTTTTTGTTTTTACGTGGAAAATCATCAGCAATGCTGACCCCCAGTTGGGGGTGACTCTCACCACCCCTCCTTCCACCGCCCACATACACGTGGGGGTAAGGAGAGGATGACAACAGAAAAACAAAAAAAAGAAAAAAAAAATTGAGCTAATCAGCACCCAGTAGGGATGCTGGGGTTTCCCCAGTGGGGGTCTCCCCATTTTCCAAAAATCATATACATGCAATGACGATTAAATAATATAGGGAGGAAAGTGTTGTTTTTCATATTTTAATTAATTATTATATCATTGAATTTAAAAATTAAATTAATTTTTTTTTATTTTAAATAATAATACTCTTTATGTATATATATATATACTGCGGGTATAAATAAATAATTAAAAATTAATTTTTAAATTAAAATAATAATATAAAATTGATTAAAACTATGTAGTAAAAATAATTTATAATCAATTAAATTTTATTCATTTTTATCAGAGTTACATATAAGAGAATATTTTTATTCAGTCCTCGTTTGGTAAACATTTTGCGGCTAAAAAAACACAAAAAGACAAAATAAGTTATATTAGCTAATAAGACAAAATGTCACATCCAAATCGTAATCATTATACTTTTTCTCTCACAAAAGTGAAAAAAATCCAAAAATGAAAACTAAACAAAGCTAAAAAAGTCAGGCTAAAAAAGTTCTAATACAAAAAAGTTGGCTACCATAGCCAATGCCAAATGAAGCTTCAGATATTATTAATTGTGTATTCTAAATTTTTAATAAAAAAAAAATGCACGTTGTAATTAATTAGTAAAAATTAAAGAATAAATTTAAAAAATTATATTTAAGATAAAATATAAACACATTTCATTTTATTAGTTTTGTAATTTTAATTTACCATATGATAGTCATAAATTACACTTGTTAATATAATAATTTTTTCTTATTTTGTAAAATCTAAAAATTTGTCCACTCAAAATTGTAAATTATCTTATGTCATAACTCTAACATGATAATGAATTAGTATTGACTTGTCAAAGCATCTCCAATGGAGCTGCTATTTCACTTGCCAAAGCTAAAAAATGACAGGAATGACAAAAAGTTGTCTCCAATGGTTTGCTATTTCACTTGCCAAATATGGCAGATGTCATATGTGTTCTCAAATTTGGCAAATGAAACAGCAGATGCCAAACTTGCCAGATCAACAAAAATCAACAGCAATTTGGCACCAAATTCAGTTGAAAACAAGAGAATTAATCCAGTAGGGAACCCATTTTTCAGAATCAAACCCAATTTTCAGAATCAAACAAATTTCAGAATGAAATTGACAAACCCAAATTCGGTTTCTCAAATTTTTTTTTTTTAATTCATTATCACCAAATCAATCAATCCAAATCGTATGCATTCACAATAAACCAAACGAAATCAGATAATCCAGTATCACAATAAAATGATCGGAAGTCCAAAAATTTGCAGAATGAAGATTGAGATGGAGACAGATATCAAAACATATGTATATATATATATGGAGATATCAGATTTGATGGATGAACAAAAAAAAAATTCAATAAGACAGATATCAAAAATTGATAGATGAACAAAAATTGATCTAAAAAAATAATTAAGAAAATTAGGAGAAAAACATACCAGATTTGAGTTGGATGAAGATCTGGTTTGAATCCATCGCCAACTTTGAGTTTCAAAAAAAACGATCACCTCAGCTCCACATCAACAATCAGAAAAATAAAGAAAAAATCAACACATGAAGACTGAGAGAAAGACAGATCAAAACATGTATGTATATATATATATATATAAGTATATATATAGATGGAGATCGTACCACAGACAGATCGAAGGTGAAGATGAGTATGTATACAGACAGATCGTATACATCGGATATGAGTATTTTTACAGGCAAATCGGATATGAGTATGTATACAGACAAATCGTACCACAGATAGATCGTACACTAATCGGAGGTGAAGATTGAGCGGGAGACAGATCGAAGCTTCATAGGTAGAGAGAGTGTGAGAGGAAGATAGAGTGAGAGAGTGAGAGTCAGAGAGGGGTTTCGATCATGGAGGAGAAGGGGGAGTGATTTGAGAAGAGGGAAACAGAGTGAGAAAGTGAGAGGGAGACAGAATGAGAGAGTGAGAAAGGTTTCGATCATGGAGGAGAATGAATAGTGGTGAGGAGAGGTAGACAGAGTGAGAGGGAGAGGAAGAGGGTGGATCATTCTAGATGTTTGGAGACAAAGTGATGCCTCAGTGTATAAAAGAGTCGTTGGGCTCTGTTTGGTTTTTTTTTTTAATATTAATTATTTTTTACAACAGTTATTTCAAACGGCTATTTCCCAAACGGTAATATTTTTTATTTCTATAAATTGAAACCCTCCATGTCACTTTTATTTCACACAAACATTTTGATTTAATTTTTCTTTTCTTCTTTCTTCTTTGAATTTGATTTCACAACAAACCCCTTAAATTATTTTCTTTTTGGTTTTTTCATCCAATCACTATGAAAGGTTCATTAAAAACAAAGAGAGGAAACTCATTCACCATTGAAGAAGATATGGCAATTTGTAAATCTTGGTGTCACATTTCAGAATACCCAATTGTTGGCAATTTGCAATCGTATGCTCACTTTTGGGAGAGAATTTACGAAAATTATTGCTTGCTTCAGAATGATCAGTCCAGAACACAAGTATCTATTCTATCTCGATGGGGTATAATCATGAAATGTTCTAACAAATTTCGGGAGTGTTTAGCGCAAGTTGAAAATCTTCACCCAAGTGGGATTTCTCAAGTTGATATAGTAAGTTTTTATCTTCAGTTATTATGTTTAGTTTCTTATTCTGGTATCGTATAAAAATTAAGTAATTAAATAATGTTTCAATTTTTTTTAAGCAAATGCTTCAAGCAAAACTGTTATACCATCAAGATAAAAACAAACATTTTGCTTTTGAACCTTGTTGGCCAATATTGCAAGACAATATCAGGTGGCAAGATGTAGCTCCCACGAATACGGTAAAGTCTAGGATGCATACAGTGTTTACCCCTAATTCAGCCCCTGATTTCCCTATGGATAACTGCATTTCTCTTGAAGACGACAACAGTCCAAGTTTTGGTAACAATCCAACTGTTGGTGAGAGCAGTGTCTCTGCAAGGGGTAAAAGGCCGATAGGTAGAAAATCTGCAAAAGAATTATTTCGGAGAAATCAAGTCATTGAAACTGAAGTCCAAAAAATAAGTATACAATTGGACACATTTAACCAACACCTTGCTGAGAAAGAAAAGAAAAAAGAGGAAAGAGAAGAAAAAAAGATTCAAGCACTACAGGAGATGAAAGAACTTGAGATGAAAAAACATGAGTTTGAGATGAAAAAGGAAAAACACAAAATAATGACTACGGACATTTCTCATTTAGACCCTCAGATGAAAGTGTATTGCACAATGCGAAAAAATGAGATTTTCGCTAAATGGTCCTCAAATGTGAGCAGTCCAAATTTTTATTTTCCCCTACCTCCTGATGAATAATTACGGGATAATGTATTTTTAAAATTTGCAATATCATTTATTTTTTGATGTAATTGTTAGTCTTTATTTGCAATGTAATTTTTATTTTGTAATGAAATTTCATGTTGTTTTTTTATTTTATTTTTGAGTATTTTGTACGTCACAATGTAATATTATAATAAAAAAATAAAATAAAAAGACATTAAATGAAGATAATTTTATTAAAACAAAAACACATTAAATGATATTAACTGTTATTAAAAAGATAAAATGCAAACTTAATCTAACTCTCCAACTCGGGACCACAAGTGTTCAATTAGATCATTAAGAATTGCATTATGGGCTTCAATAGATCTAATCCTCTGCCGATTCAACATAAATTGAGCATACTCCTCATTCGGATCGCGTGACACTTGACAGCCCAAATTACTGGTATCAGTCTCAAGTTGTGCTGCACTGCGTTCATTTTCTGGAATATCACGCTCGTCTTCAATGATCATATTGTGCAAAATAATGCACGTCTTCATTATATAGTATAGATCCTCATCACTCCAACCTCTAGCTGGAACTCTGACAATATTAAATCGTGCTTGGAGCACTCCAAATGCCCTTTCGACATCTTTCCGACATGCCTCCTGCATCCTCGCAAATAGTTGTCTCTTTGCGCCTTGAGGTTGAGATATTGTTTTCACAATCGTTGCCCAATGAGAGTAGATACCATCAGCAAGATAATACCCCATGGTGTACGCGTTATTATTGATGGTGTAATTAGCAATAGGGGCACGTCCTCCAGTTAATTCAGCAAATAAAGGCGACCTGTCAAGAACAGTAATATCATTTAGAGAACCAGGCATGCTAAAGAAAACATGTCAAATCCACAAGTCATAGGAGGCAATTGCCTCGAGTACAACTGTTGGTTTGTGATAGTGTCCAGTGTAAGCACCAACTTGGGCAGTTGGACATTTATTCCAACGCCAGTGCATACAATCCAAACTCCCTAACATTCCAGGAAACCCACGTTGCTCTCCCTCTTGCAATAATCTGGCGACATCAACGTCATTTGGAGATCTTAAGTAAACGGCTTCATAAGTGACAACAATTGATCTGATAAAAAAATTTAAGGCGGCAATTGCATTACTTTCACCGATTGTAATGTACTCGTCTACAGTATCAGCAGGCACGCCGTACTGCAGGATCCGAAGTGCTGCAGTCATCTTCTGTACACTGGATAATCCAGGAGCACCAGTGGCATCACGGGTTTGGATGAAGTACTCATTCACTTGTTGAATATCATGTAAGATACTAACAAACAATGACCGCCTCATTCAAAAACATCTTCGGAAGTATTCTTCTGGATAGAGAGGATTATCTGCAAACTAATCTCTATAAATTTGTTTGTCGCCTTTGACCCTCTCACGATTAATGTATCGACGACCACTTGTGGAACCAACACGTCTGATTTGTTGGTTTAGGCTTAACGTCTGTAATCTTTGTTGTTGCACTGTGAATAGTTGCATCATGATGATATCATCATCAGATGATGGAGATTCATCAAAATCTCCATTCAATATGGCTTTAGTCAAATTGTTCATTGTAGGTGGATGGGTGAGTGGGTGAATATGAAAATTGTAGAAAATCTTCTAGGTGGGTACAGAGAGTTTAGAAGATATGAAAATGATGGGTAAGTGAATATGAAAATTGTAGAAAACCTTGTGTTATATTTATAGAGAAAATTGTGGGTAGGTGAATGATGGATGATTGTTGGGTGGGTGGATGAATAATGGGCGGTTGTTGGATGGGTGGATGAATTATGGATGGCTGTTGGGTGGGTGGATGAATAATGGATGGTTGTTTGGTAGATAGTTATGATGAATACCGGATTCATAATGAATGGTTGTTGGTGGTTGGTTGTTGGTGGGTAATTAGTGATTGTTTATTTTTTATGTGTGGTTAAAAAAAATTATTAAATATGTAGTGATATGTTTTTTGGTGCGGTGAATTAATCAAACAAATTTTTTTTTTCCAATTTTTCATTTTTTAAATTTTTTATATTTGTCTAATTGGGAATAATATAAATATATAATTTTTTTAACAAACAGGTAAAAAAATGTCACAAAAGATAAAAATAAACAAAAATAAAATCACAAAAAAACCTATATCCAAACAACACCTACAAATTTGGAGGGAAAATTGGTTGAGATTTGCCAAAATAGCAAATGATCATTGGAGCACCATTGCTATAATTTGACAAAATAACACTATTCATTGCCAAATTATAGCGATGTCAATAGTATTATAGCAATAATGGTTGGAGATGCTCTCACTACAACAAAAATATACTTTAGTGATATTATACTAGTGGCATGTGTAGACACTCCATTTTTAACCGACCTTAAGACTCAGACGCCACCGATTGAGCGCTTGGTGATGTTGCATATTGTGCTCGTTCAGAAGTTTCAGAGTCTCGGCTGCGAGCCGTGCCTCCGGACTTCCGGGCTCTTTCGTGTCTTACCTCGGTTTGCATATTGTGCTCGTTTAGAGGTCGCGGAGTCTCGGCCGTGAGCCTTGCCTCCGGACTTCCAGACTCTTTTGTGCTTTGTCTCGGTTTGCGAATCAGGTCCCATTTTCTCTATTTTCTCTTACCGAAGGGAGGGAGAGGTCTTGTAGATCATCTCTCAGTAGCCGTAGGCTACGTTTCGTGGTCGTAGGCCATTTTGCCCGTTTGGAGTCCGATTTCTGGTTTTTCGGAGCCGTTGGCCGTGTGCCTCGGTTCGGGACTGCTTAACCACCTCCGTTTGCTCCGGTTTTTGGCATGCATCTTATTTTCTCCCTTTTGAAGGACACTACGGTCCGAAAAACCAACTTCGTGGTCGAACACCACTTCCGGTGCCTAACAGTCAGTTTTCGGGGCCTCGGGCTGCCCGTTTCGGCCCGCGAACCTTCATTTTGCATCGGTTTGGGCTCATTTTTGGTGGAGACCTTATTTTCACTGCTAAGAAGGTCGTAGAAGGGTGGGAGGCCAGTAATTGTTCTGACAACCAGTTTTATTCCTCCATCGCCCTCCGTCGCCCGTTTTTCTCACTTGAAAGCCAATGTTGACCACCCTAAGGCCACTTTTTCCAGCCCTAAACCACATATTTGTGTTGTACACACCTGGGAGGCCACCAATATCATATGGCCGGCCAGGAATTGTGTGTGACCCTTTTGAGCCCCTTCTAAAAGTGGCCTTTTCTCTCTTCTGGTTCACTTTCTCCAGTTTTTGACCACATGGTTGTGTTGTGCACACATGGGAGGCCACCAATCTGGGGTGGCCGGCCACTAATACTTCTTGACCCTTGGCCGACCGGCCATGGGGAAGGCCGACCGGCCACCTGCAACTTAGATACCAAGCCGGCCATGGTCACCACCTCTGGTACATTACAAATCTGTATTTTGTTTCCCCCCAGATTGTGTATCTGGGGGGCTGCACTTTTGGGGGAAAATTTGAAATCCATTTCCCTCCCTTTTTTCCCCCTCTCTTGCCTATATAACCAGTACCCCTAGCTATGTTTTAAGGGTTAGAAATTTTGGTTTGGAGCTCCTACATTGTATCTCTCTCTCTCTACACTCCAACCCTCAAAACCTCCCAAACCCTACACCATTTCTACACCACCACCTAGCACCTTGCCACCACCATCCATTCCAGCCACTTAGAGCTATTTTCCAGAGCTAAGGAGCCACCAAACTTGGTCCAAGAGTTGTCAAAGATTTGGTCTTCAAGGGTAAGTCTTCTCCTTCCTCTTTCTTGCCTTATTTTGCTCAATATATTAGCCATACTTTCTTGCATATTTGGGCTCCGACCCTAACTGAAAATAGCATTATTTTGAGGTCTTTTTCATGGTTTTTTTAGGGTCCTTCCATGTTTAAGGTCTCTAGCTACCACTTGCTTCTTTACCTCTCTTGTATGCCTCTTTCTTGCATAGTATTTTAGGCCTATTTGTAAACTGTTTTGAGCTTGGTTATAAACTGTAAAGAGTCTTATTTTGAGCCCCTCTTCAATATTGTTGAAGGGCTCTTCACTATTTGAGGCTTCCTTTTGTCACTTGCCTCTTTATCCCTCTTTTGGCCTTATTTTTGCATGTTTTGTTAGCCCCTTGTTCTTGTATTTTTGGGCTCTGGTCTGAACTATAAATAGTCTTATTTTGACCCTCTCTTCATGTTTTATCAAGGGACTTTTGCTTTTTGAAGCTCCCTTTTTGCTCTTTGTGTTTAAACCTCTTTTTTGGCCTTATTTTGCATAGTATTTTAAGCTTGCATGTGCACTGTTTTGGGTTTGGTCACTAACTGTAAAATGTCATGTTTTGAGCCCCTCTTCAACTTTGTTGAAGGGACCTCCTCTGTTTGATGCCAGCAACCATCACTTGCTTCTTTGTCTCCCTTTTGACCCATTTCTTGCACAATAGTTTAGCCATACTTGTGTTTGTTTTCGTGGCTTGTTGTAAACTGTAAAGTGCTTCATTTTGAGCCCCTCTTCAACTTTGTTTAAGGGATCTTGGCCATTTAGGGCCAGCAGATGCTACTTGCTTCATTATCTCTTTTTTGGGGCCATTTTTGCATGTTAACTTAGCCCTATTTGTGTTCACTTTTTGGCCTGGATTAAAACTGTAAATATGCTTTTTTTGGGACTGTCTTGATTCTTTCTTCACACTTCATGTTCGAATAATGCATGCTTTGCATAGCCATAGGTCACTCCATATACCTAATTTCATGTTTCGGGTCTCATTCCATGCATCGGGTGTCATGTTTCCATGTTTCGGGGCTGCTTTGCATCATATTTCAGCATTGAAATTTGCATGTTTGCATATCATGTTTCATACCTTGCCATGCTTTGTTAGAGTGGCATTTGTGCCTTAGGTTCGGTCCTCGGTTTGCGTGCACGTGTGCACACATCTCGAGTGTCTCATTTTCATCTAATGGCCATTGATGTGAGTGCAGCTGAGGTCCACTCATGTTGGTGTAAGTCCATCGTGCATTGTGTATGCCATTTCAATTCATAGCATTGCGTATGCTAGGTTGTATGTTAGAGCATCGTGTATGCCATGTTACATCGCGCATTGTGTATGTCATTTCATAGCATTGCGTATGCTAGGTTGCATGTTCGAATTGCATTCATGCTGTCATGCATATTGCATTGGGTTTGGGATAGGCATTAGCCCGAGCACGGGAAACGAGGGACGTTTCGTACTCCGAGTGACGGAACGTGTCTCAATTCTCAGTCACCGACACTCTGGATGTTCCATGATGGAGTCTCGGTCTTGTTGTGTTTATGTGTGCATTCATTTCATATTAAGTCGTGCAATTCGACTCCTCGGCCATCATGCATCGAGATGCGTGATTGGTGGCACGAGGATCGAGGACTACACTCCCTGAAGAGTAGTCATGCATACATATGTGAAAATACTTTGCCATGCCCCTTTGTTGCTCTCTGTTGCAGTAAATCAGAAATCGGCAGCCTTCCGGAGCTTGGCACGCATTCCAAGAACAATTGCAAACAGAGGCAAATCGGGGCATCGCAAGGGATTCTTCGCACAAGGCAACCCGAGCATGCATCATTCATCATCCGGAGCAGAGTTGAGGCAATCTCTGGCTTGCATGCCAATTTACTGCTTTCCTAATTTAATTTGTTAATTAATTAGGGTTTTGTACATATTTGGACTGTAATATTCATTCCGGACTGTTTATTATTTATTCGGACCCTCTGCGCGAGGGCAATATTGTAATAAGTGTGCGTATGTGTGATGTATGTCTTCCAACCCCACGTCTTTCTCCCTTTTATTTACCAGCTTATGATGGTTAGATTAGGGCATGTTTCAATTAGCATATAGTATGATAGCATGTTTGCATTCATTCATCTGCTTTGCATGCACCGGGCTCGGTGCATCATACTAACTGCATTGTATTTTCAACTCCAAGTTGAATACATGTTAGCTGTAGCATTTCATATGCCATGTTTAGAATAGCCGAGCCTGCTATAGTTGCATTTTTGCATGTGTTGCATTAGGCACTTATGTATAATTAGGATCATGCATGGATTTCTAATTAGTTTCTATTTTGGCTTGGAGTACTCGGTAAGTTTTATGCTTTAGCATCCTTGCATGCGTGTGAGTGACTGCCATGATAGCATGCTTACTATGAGGCTAATTGCTTATGTGATATAACTGCCTGAATGCCTGTGGGTGAAGGTTGAGTTATTTGGATTGGAACAATTCATTCACTGTGTGTTTTAAGCCTACTAGATAGTGGCAAAATCATGTTTTCTAAGCCCACCTGAGGGTGGCAAATCCAC